AACATTATAGATGTATAAAAATAGCTTTTTTTCTGAAAAATACCAACAATACGTATTTATATAAAAATACCAACAATACCTATTTATAGTAAAATTATCAACGATAAATTTTATGAATATTTTAAGGCATGCAATTGCGTTCAAAATATATTTAGTTGAAGCCATAAAACTTTGTCCAAAATATCTAGAATTAGGCATTAGATAACCCATAGTGGTTGATATGTGGCAAATCAAAATCAAACAACCAACATGAAAGAAATCTTTCACATTAATTCATATAATATCCTGTAATTTCTTAGAAATCAAACTGTTTTCCAAAATATAACTTCAACAAAAGATAAAACACATATAAGCGCCTCTAGTAGTTATGTTCAGACAAACATATGCACAAAAGCTGAGTATCATCTACCATGTATTTAATGGTGAAAGCAGAATAACATATGCCATATTTTATCATTTTTATTACTTCCAAGCTCCAAGAAACTTGAACATGGATAGTAGAACAAGGAGTGGGAAAGATAGTAAAAAGCAATCATTACAAATGATACGAAGTCGTGGAAAGCTACGACCGTCTAAATACTAGAGGGACCCGATACATAAAATAATAATAATATGAGCTGTCGACATTGTTATCATTTTCTGGTGTCGACGATAATATTTTTTATGGAAACAACTTGAAAAAATAACAAAGAGATTTGTAAGAAACGTTAAAATAAATGTATTAAAGAAACCATAAAATAATGTATTAAAGAAAAGTTAAAATAATGTATTAAAAAACGTTAACATAACGTATTATGCCAATCAACTTTTGCCAAGTTTTGTATAATGTTTACAAACGAAAAATAAGAGATTTTATATGGGATAACCTAACACATCTATTATTATGGAACTCAGTGCGCATGGAACGCGCATGCAATTGGCTCATTTGCACACCTTGTCTTCACGACGTGGTGTTAAGCTATTTACTGACATAAAATCAAATATCGAAGAGAACTAATGAGGATTTTCCACTCTCTATTAGTAATAGCCTGCTAGATTAGCTTGGTCTCCGGCGAGATGTGCTAATTTATCAGTTTAAGGTCGTACAATAAACACCCATATGCGTTAAGCACATGCTTATAACAAAAGTCGTCTTCTGGAAAACAGTTTCAGTTAAACACATCCCAAACAGTATGAAATTGAAATGACAGTAATGATAGTATATACCCTTAATCCAGCATCAAAATTCAATATGTGTAACTAATAAATACTAAAAATTTAAAATACCAGAGTGTATGGATCAATTATAACACATTTAGTAGAGTGTGCGAAAGGTAAATTGTCACTATTTTATATTATTCAATTCGAGCATGATCAATGTTTGTTTTTGATCTTATCGCATGAATAGTATAATAGGGTCAGTTGGGCATCGTCTGTGGGAAAAAGAGCATCATGACGCAATTCATTCCACCAGAAATTTGGAAATGACATGCTGTACTATTTGACATTCGCACCGGAAGCTCCATTACGAATATTTCGGAGTGTTTGAGGTCAATCTGAGGAGAGCGCAGAAGACTCGGAAAGAGTTGGTTGATATATCCTGTCAACATCATGGTTTTTGGAGTGATAACTAGTGATGGCTACGTTATACCTCCATTCATCTTTCCACAGGGCCTCGGACTCACCACAGAGGCCAACATCAAGTGTCTTGAGGAGGTAGTGCTGCCCTGGTTCAAGAGGGTGGCTGCTGGAAGACCCTATATCTGGCAAAAGGACTAGGTCAGAACTATATAGACTACTAATCTGCATAAAGGCAAATCTATCTCAGATCAGTGATTAGAAATATCTTCAGACGAATAAATTCAATAAAACTAACATAAGACGACACTTCAACAGGCTAATTACACTAGCGTTACAAAATCGCGATGAACCATACGAACTGCTGAAACACCTACTGTGGCTGGCAAATGTAACTAGAAGAGGAAATAATGACATAAACAAACTGTTAACTTTCCTCACTAACAAAAACAATAGGGTAGGAATAAAACTGCCCAAAACAGATGGTAAACTTGAGGAGTCTAGCTTCTTGAAAATAACTTATTTTTTGCAAATTTCAGCCAATAGAAATATTAAATGTTCGGCCACGGGATATCGAATGTTTCTTGCATAAAAAGCGCTAATTGCAACATTACCATTATCATTTTAATCATTGCATTTCAACGAGCAAGTTACTAAGTTTAATTTCACACTTCATGAAGGCAAGTGAGAGGAGATAAATAAAGGATAGCCACTCGTATCCAAGAATGACCTTCTACTAGGGCGGCTAGCCAACCCCTGTTGCAGACGCTTGTTGCATGCATATTTTGTGCTTGGTCAACAGCCACAGAGCCATCTGTGGTTTATACTGGAACTACGCTGAGTGGACATTAGATATAGCCTCTGGGAGAGAGCGCGTTATCTAGCGTGATGCACAGTCATTACAGGTCCTACACGCTCAAACACTCAAACAAATATGGTTTTCAGGCAGTTTCCACAGTACGTTCCCACAGAGCTATAATATCAAGAATTCTCCTTCCTGACAAATCGACCATGGTGAGATTTGAGACTGGGTCTCATGCTCAGAAAGTGAACGTTCTAAGCACTCGGAGATAGACAGTGGAATATTGCATTACAATAAATATATACTGTGGTCCTTCAGAATATTGACGATCACGACTCTCCACAATTTCCTATCATTTGTAGTTCTTGATAAATTTTACCTTTTAGTTATCTCATAAACCTTCTTCGGCCGTCCATTTACTACTCTCCCCTAAAACTTGTTCCGCAAGACATTTACTACTTTAGGTAGGTTATGAGTTGTATACTTCTGTCTTTCTTGACTTTAATCTGTCTTGTGTGTATGAACATTTCCAAGCACCCCTCACACTTTCCTTTTTATATGCCCTAGAAATTACAACTTCCGTCCTCTGTTAAAACACTCCGTAATAAATTGTTGTGAGTTTGCTATCACCAATTTGTGATTAGCATGTTTGGCTATTCCTTTTGTTAACAACCATTCTCTTTATCTTCTTACAATTGATATCTAATCCTTTATTTCCGCGTTCCTTCATTACATTCTGTCGGAGTTATTCTAGTTTCCTTTCTGTGTTTGAATCAACATTGTGTCACATACACATCTTATATTTTTAAGAATGTGGCTGCCAATAATTAATCCTTCAATGAATTCTAATTCTATCAGAGTCACCTCACTCTATAGGTTAAATACGTCCAGTGAGACAATACATCCTTGTCTTACATGGCTTTATATTTTTGTATATATACTGAATGCATTTCTATCCGTATGCAGGCAGTTTGCACCCAGTATAATATTCTGACCTACCCAAGGTTCAATTAAAAAAAATAGATGCATTCATTCATTGTATAGTTCAACTTAGTGTAGAAACGGAAAAAAGACGTATTTATATTGAAACTGACAATTTGCTATCAACCCCAAATCAACGTCCTATCAATATATTTTCACTGATTACCCATAGGAAGCCTTTACAGAATACAATATATTATGAAACGAGTGAAATGAATTTTCCAATATTTGTTGTTCACCGCTGAATTCCTATTCGCTAGTCATCCACGACTACTTCTTTTTGTATTCAGGATGTTGACGAACATGGCTCTCCACAATTTCCTGTCCTATATAGGTCTTCATAAATTTTGTCTTTTTGTTATCTCTCCTAAACCCTTTTCTGCCATTCATTTACACAAGCTCACTAGGATAGTTATACATTGTTTTTCTCTGTCCCTCTTACCTTTCATCGGTCCTGTGTGTATCAAATCTTCCAAGCCCACTTTCCTCATTATATACCCAAGAAATTTCAACTGGCTTTTCTGGTGTTAAGCATAAGTGTCCTTTATGTTGCTATTTTCTCTAAGTTATTGCTTACATGTTCAGGTGGTGTTGTCTCCATATTTTGTTAAGATAAATATAAGAAACGTTTATCATATTATTTAGAGAGTAAAAGAAAAAGATTATAACATACAGTATGACGAAACAAATATTGAAATCATTTTAATTTCTGTTTTGTCTTTTTTTCATTGATATGAATCTTTAATCTTATTTCAAACGTTCTTGTAATATTTCGGCTCCTCTCATACTTTTCTTTAGACTCAAAAACGCGCAGGTATTTCCTATCTATTTCCAGTAGGAAAAACGTTTTTATCGTCATTATCTAGAGTGTCAGAACAATTCCTATCCTTTACAGCTGTTAGAAATGCTTGTCTTTTTATTTTTCCTAGCAACGCCTGTTCTGCTATCTTTGTACACAAACTGCTTAGTTAGGGTTTTTTCTTGTTTCCATTTACCCCTTCTACCTTCAATATGTTTTGTTGGTGTCAAATTCTTCAAAACACTTTCACCTCATTATGCAGTCCAGATATTTCTACTTTCGCTTTCTGATTAAAACTTTAACTTTCCTTTTACTTTTTCCTTCCTTAAAACTTCCTCATTGTTTTTCTTTTAATTACATGGTATTCTCAGCATTCTTTCGCAGAGCTAGACCTTTCAATTCTCCTCTTCATCTGTGAGAAAACTGGCAAGTATTGATTAACATATAGGAGGACCTATATTACATAATTGTTCAATACTCTTTTCTTTGTTTTTAATGAGATTTTCATATTTCTTAATACGTTGTTTAACTTTTGAAAGGCACTTTCGCTATCCAAACACCCCTTCTATTTTCCAGCGTCTGTTAAAGCACTTTTCAGGTAGTTAAATTTTTGTACTTGTTTGATTTTGACATCCCCGTCCAAATGTGTATAAGATTTATTTACATCAACGTAGAGGGACCGGAGGAATTAAAAATAGACAGTTTCATTTTCGGCTGATTAGAGAATAAAAGAAAAAAAGGCTATAATATACAGGGTGAAGCAGAAATTGAAACCTTCTTCATTTCAGTTTTGTCTATTTTCATTGATACAAATCACTATTCTTTTCATTTCAGCGCTTTTGGAATATTTCGGCTATTCTTATGCTTTTCTTTAGACTCTGTAAGGCGCAAATACTTCTTGCGCTCTATTTCCAGTAGGAAAAGAGTAATTATTTAGAAAGTGACATAAAAATGCAGATAGTTCTATTACGGAACATATTTTGAAGGGCTGATGAAAAACGTTTTACCACTAGTGTTTGGGACGTATTGTTTTGCTTTTACATTGTGTAAAGGATAAAAAGAATCACTGCAAGTTATAAAAATCGTGCCCCAGTTGCTTCACATGTGAGTTATTTTTCAAGAAGCGCCTTATCTAGAATAACAGCTTTTGTCAATAATATACACACAACTCTCAGTAATATAAAAATCTCTACTAGTTTTCGATACCTAAAGTTTAAAATGAATTATTAAAAATAATAAAGCATGCATGAAGTTTTCTTTTTATCTTTAATTGAAAGCTAAATGATTACATTTACTATTTCCAGTGAGGAAAATACTCTGGTGTATTTCAAATAGAAATTATATTGATTGGAATTTCAACTTTTTGATTGTTTCAGTAAAGTTATTAAAATCATTTTTTATACATTTTGACACATTTGTTAACAAAAGTTAATTCTCGACTTTAAATATCTTCCAAAAATAAAATATATTTTTCTGAAACATTATTTGAGGAATATTAGCTGATTTAAAGTCTAAGTAATCTGATGTGAAAAATATTTACATTAAATTTAAAATAACAGAAAAATGGATTTTTAAAACAAACATCGCGGTGATTACGTGTTTGTCACCGCTCGTAAATCACTTAACAAGCACTGATAAAGTGTTGAAAATTTTATTGTTGTTCTACAGAGACTTTAACATAATTTAAGAAAATAAAATGTGAGCGCCTTTATAATTTGTAAGTGCTCAGTAATCTTAAAAATGTTTGAAAATATTCTCAGTGATCTAATTTTAGTAAAGTTGAATTAAAATTTTACTATCGCTCTTGTTTTCTGATAATGTCGTATATGGTCGACTATGTTTTTAAACAGGCACACGTTATGTAATATTTGATATACATAAAAAATTTAAAAATTATTTTTAAATTCTTTAAGCAAAATACTTTGGATTAAGCTTTTCAATTTCTGATTATTGAATATAGTTTTCACTTAATAACGATATCACTTAACCGGATGAAATTAATACAGAAATTTAAAAGTTTTATATATCATGAATACATTAAAAAATGAAAACAGTTCTTGTAAAAATTAATTATTCATCGGAAATTTTTTTTTTCTTAAGAGAGTAGTATCTTTAATAAATCTTATTTATAAAAGCAATTAAAAGCTTTCCTGGTGCCATAGTTTTACTGCATTTTTATTTGACAGTTGGGAGCAGATTTTCGGGAAATGAGTAGCAGTTTGAAAAAAATTATCGATTTAGATGCTGCAAAGAGTCCTCCTTTTAATTAATGCAAATTTTCCGATAAAAATTAATTTCTGGAGATTTCATGAAAATAAGTAAGTGTTGGGGTATATATAAAATAATATAAAGAAAGTTGTGAATAAGCCTGAAAGTTTCATAACATTTCGACAATTATTTGATTTTTGCAAGAATTTCGAAATCAATGTGTTTTTCAACGGAAGAAAAGTGCAAAAACACTACTCGTAAATATTACATTGACCGCTGAAAAACAAACAAACCACTAGATAGATATTTAAACAAAAATTCTAACATGCTATAAGTGATTCAAAAATTTAATGACGTAATAAAAAATATTTGGACTGTCCTCTTAATAATAACATAATAATTTGACAAAATAAAACTTTGTTTTTATTAAGTTTTTTTTGGGTGGGAGTTTCCTCAAACTATTCTGTTTTTTCAACGAAAAAGTAGCGGAACCTACAGTACAGATATTTTCTCGAACAAATATTACTGTAAAAAGTATTACCGTAAACATCTTGGCTTTTCAGAAAATGCTTTCTGTGTTATAAGACAACACTTGGGCAGCAAAGGCACGCTGTCCGTATTCTAGGATTCCATTTTTAAATTAAATTTCAGTAACGAAAAGAATATATGGTACTGAAATCATTAGCTCCTCCTGAAGGTTATGTTGTGCAGGTGGTTTATTGCATGCATTTATAACCAAATACCCTAGGAAAAAGCATGAATCCATTTTCTATATATTATATGGTTAATTAATATGAATTGTATAAAAAATAATTGTTATACACCCTGCCTTAAAAATTCTTATTGCAAAATGCAGTCGCAAAAATAAAATGATTCTTACAATCAAAAATATGTTTTTGTTTTAAATGACCTACAAGTAGTTGATAATTCGTAAAAAACAAATCTTTTTTCTGAACGCTTTTATGCAGTTGTACAGCAGTTATTAAACATAATGTCTGTTTTAACGAGGACAAGAACTGGTGTAACCGTAATTTCATTTACAACAACTAACTTGCGACTGTGGATCATGAAACTAATGTTTATATATATATATATATATATATATATATATATATATATATATATATATATATATATATATATATATATATATATATATATATATATATAGTGTATTTAATGTGTGGTTATATTTTAAATTGGAAGGTAAGATAAAAATCATAAATGTCATGTATTTTTTTGCCTGTTTGAATATATATTACGTATTTTATCTTCTTTTCTCTCTCCCCAACCTTAGTTTTACACAGACTCAGGCGTACTCACACAAACATATATATGTATGTATGTACGTAGCACACATACACATAAATAAATCATATATATATATATATATATATATATATATATATATATATATATATATATATATATATATATAAGCAGATGTACGCTAATCAAATCGCATTTTGTGCTCACAATCTGGTAAACGCGCCAGCAGGGTTAGTGTTTCGGAAGCATTCCAAATCGACTTTACCTGTCTATCCCAGTCTGTTCATATCTATCTATCTATCTATCTATCTATCTATCTATCTATCTATCTATCTATCTATCTATCTATCTATCCCTAGATGCATCTTGTGCGAGACTCGCCTTCCGTTATTCACCTTATACTTCCGTTTGAGGTAATATACCTGACAATATTCCGGTTTAGAAAATTATCCGTCGAGTGTATTTTCTTTAATGAGAAGGATATTAAGATATTTTGTTCCAGTTTTTGCAAGAAAAATTTTCGGAAAAGTGTCAGTCTCAACCAGGCAGGATTTATTATTTAGAAAGATTTCCGGCTTTCCTATAATTATGCACTGGCAGCACAATCTGGTTAACGCGCCAGCCGGGTTAGTATTTTGCAAGCCTTCCAAATCGAATTTATCTATCTCAGTCTGTTCATATCTATCTATCTATCTATCTATCTATCTATCTATCTATCTATCTCCAGTTACATTCCGTGTGTGCCTCGCCATGCGTTATTCACCTTTTACTTCCGTTCGATGTAATATGACTCACAATATTCCGGTTTACAAAATTATCCGTCGAGTGTATTTTCCTGAAAAAATTTCAGAAAAGTGTCAAGCGCAACCAGGCAGGATTTATCATTTAGAAAGATTTCCGGTTTTCCTTTAATTATGCACTGGCAGCACAATCTGGTAAACTCGCCAACAGGGTTAGTGTTTTGCAAGAATCCTGCAACGAATTAATCTATCTATCTATCTATCTATCTATCTATCTATCTAATTTATTGTCGGAGTTTGTCAATTTTCTTTCTTATACATTGCACTACATATCGTATTTTTGGATGAACCGAGCTCTTCCAACAGTCTTCAAGTTCTAACGGTCGATTACTTACGCTTGAAATCATTATAATGGCCGCTTGGTACTCACTTTCCTTGCTGAATCCAAGTACACACCCTGAAACTAAATAAGCACCGGGTGAGATCCCTTGTCAGGCATAACGGAACGAGAAAATATACCCCGGTAGATTAAATAAAGTTTTTAGCTTGAAATTCCCTGATGGTTATGCGGATGGATAAGCACATGATGAAGGCCCGAGGGGGTGTACACAGAGACCGAAACATTTATAACAACAAAGCATAATACGATAGCCCGCGTGTATATAATGCAAATAATAACAACCCCTAATCTCAGAATTTCATATAGTATTTCAACAACACGTTTCAGTGGGTTCGTGTTGCAATTTAAAATAATATCTCAAAATTAGCTAAACACAATATTTGTATCTAGCATTATGAAATCGAAAGTAAAACGTACAAAAGAATATTATTGATATTCATTCATAGTAATGATCACCTAATACAATGTCAAAAGCATTCAGTGTAATACTGAATGAGGTACACGATATGAACTTAAGGAGAGTAAGCAGGAAGGAAAGAATATGAGGATTTGGAGTATAGATGACGACTGACCGTATACTTGAAGAGATTAAAATTTAGGTGATCAGGGAAGCATCCACTCGGGAGTCTCTTCTACAAAGTAGCAGGCGTTGCGAATAAGCTAAGTTGAATACATTTCTTACCAATGACTTAATCCTGTAGACGTATCTAAGTGTTCTTGGGTTTAAAGAGCTGATCTTGTGGCATTACTGAAGTAGATAGGCGGGCCTCGATTGTAAATGGATGAGCTTGTAGAATTAAAGAGGTAGCTAGTCGGGTTTTGGTTGTAAATGGTTGTGCTGGTGGCACTAAAGAATAGAGCTCGTTGGAACATTCACCAGGGAAGTAACGAGAGGCTTGTCACTTTACGTCTGTGAAAAAGAGGCTGCAGGTAGGAAGGATAATTCATCCCCCATAATGCTGCGAAAAAGAATTTGAACTTTGTCGAGACTGGGAAGTGAGCATTGGGCAGCTTCAACCCAGATATGACAGCAATACACCATTTTTGCGAATTATATAATAATAATAATAATAATAAGCATGAAAAGTCCAAATAAAACATAATACACTTATTGCAGCAGCAAAGAACCTACAATACAATGCAAAAGCAAATGAAATGTACAAAATGCAGAAACCATGGCAAGACAAGCCTCTTAATGCTCAACACTCTGCTGGAACCAAAGAAGTTGATGTAGACAAACCCCTTACCCATCAATGTTTGAGGAGTGCAGACTTAAAAGCTGTAACTGAAGGCTTTATTCTTGCTGTAAAGGACCAATGCTAACTAGAAATTACGAGACACATTAAAGAATCGTTTACGGGATAGGAAACTGTAAGAAACAAATATGCACATCACCCAGACCCGGTTACAGACATAGGAGCTGTAACCATTTTTATGTGACTTTACAGTAAGCAGACAGAATAATCAAGGCTAATCGCCCAGACATCATGATCAAAGGCCACAAGAACGGAATGAATTTTCTTGTTGACATAGCAGTCTTCAAAAAACTATCAAAACACAAGGATCTTGAAGTTGAAATCTCAAAAATGTGGTACGTGAGGATATCAATAATTCCAGCAGGGGCCCTCGGAATGACTGGAAAAGGTTCCGATAGACGCATTAAAGAGATCCCTGAGAACACACGCCTTAAAGAAATACAAAATATGTACTCACAAGTACAGCTCACAGATTACGAAGAACTTTTTTTCTTTTCTTTTTATGTTTGTTTCCTTTCAGTATTTTATCTTAATTCCGATGATTTTTTCTTCTGGCAAGGCGTTTCTTTTTTAGTCGAGATGATATTTTCTGTATGCGTCTTTGTGATTAATAAAATGTTCCCTGTTTTAAGAATAATACATATATATATATATATATATATATATATATATATATATTGAGATATACTGAGATCTATATTAATTGACTGGAGCCCACTTATCCCTCCATGTGACCTTATGGAAAACTTTCCATCCTCCACTGTGGTAGGTAAATATATGAAATTGCGCTGACGCAATCAGTGTGAGAAGAAAATTACTAAACAGAATTTTGCTTACGAATGGAAATGCAAGACGTAGTTACTCAAAATTTAAAATAGTCGGAAATCATGGATATAATTACTTGTTGAATGTTATCAGTAAGGTCTTCATTTTACAGATTTTAACCCCAAAGCTTATTTCACGTCGACATCTTTAAAAAAATCTGACTGTCACTTCATATCACTAATAACATGATCATATATTTGGGCGCATTAAAAGTATTTTCAGTTTTTACTGATTTCTACTCTAAAGTTTCGTTTAATTTTTAGGAACCAAATTATTGTCATGAGCCTTCGGATTTGAACTTCATATTTCCCTCATGTAACATGAAACCTCGACTTCAGTCACTTTCTCAGCGACGTGAAGTGGTTTCACTTTGTCTTTTCTATAAATATTTTCATGGCAACTGCTCTGGCAAGCTTTTATCCTTGGTGCCCCGACTAGATCTACTACGTAGATTGGCATCTCGGTCCCAACTGCTGACTGTTGAAATAGCTAAATGCAATCGCTACTTCTACTCCAGCAGTTTCTTTTCATGCATTTCCCACCTTCCGTTTACTTGCTTCTCTTTCGTTTACTTGCTTCCTTGATAACTACAATCTTCAAAGATTTAGATGCAACGTTAATCGCCATCTTCTGACTTCTTGAATCCCGTTCATCTTTTGTCCATTCCTCAATCCTCTCTATACTTATTCATTTCTCTCACTTTCATTCCCTATAACGCCATGTGTATTAATAACATTCCCGACTTGCTTGGGATGAAATAATTAAAAATAGTATGTGTTAAAACACTTCTCAGACATTTAAACATTTTTAATTGTTTTGTTTTGGTATTCCCAATTCGTAGCTTACATCACTGAGCTTACTCTGTTGTTGATAATTATTCATTTCTTCTCCGTCTCCTTTACTGCCTTGTCTAAGGGATTCCGCAGTTCTGTTTATGTATCTGCGATTAGCACAGTGTCACCTGTGCTTTTTATAGTGTTAAGATTGCGTTCACAATTAATAATCCCGGTAGGATCTCCAGCTCCCTTAGGATAGCCTCCCTGTATAGCTTAAAAAATCTGGTGGATGGAAACATGCTTCGTTTACGCCTCTTTCCAATTTAATCAATTCATTTATTATAAGTAAGCATGTGGTTTGGCCCCGGTATACGTTCTGGATTATTCTAACATACTTTCAAAATCTAAACTATTAAAACACCGGAGTTTTCGTTAGAAACAAAGAAAAGTATGCTCGGCTACTCTGTAATATCAATTCTCCTATATGGCACTTAATGCTGAAAAATTTCCATGCTAATGAAGAGAATACTTGAGGTAAAAGAGACTTCGCTATACAGGAGGATGCTGAGAATGCATTTACCACAACAAGACTAAGCGAGAATTATGAAGCAATCCAAACATATCCTTTCTTACCAGGAAAGTTGTACGTGAAAACAAAATGAAATATATTGAATTTTCTAAAGTGGACAGGAAAGCCACTGTCAAAGAAAGTTTACAGAACGATGAAAATTGTGTCACAAATGGGAAATACATTGAAATAAAGGAATATGCCTTCGAAATTCTAAACAAAGTATTAAGGAACGGGAAGCCTTCATTAGAAAACAAAGAAAAAAGTACAGAAGTAATATGCGATATCAAGCCTCTATGGCAATGGATGCCGGACCGTTTTCTCACACATGAAGTGGAAACTTAAGGGAGCCGTGCTGCATGGGCAACTGCCGATCCATCATAAAAACCATCCCAGGCCTGCGCTCTGGATAAGGTATAAGTCTTCGAGCACAGATCCATGGCTTCTCGATCCCTACGGATGTCATAACATTGTTATAGAAGAGGGTGGATGTCTATTTTATACTATTTACACAATTTAGATTGTTCGGACTATTTGCCTCAAATTTATTACCATATTCATTAAGTTTTTGTCGTTGTACGCTCCGTCTCTCTTCAGGTGATATTTCTTGGAATTTCGTACCTAACCATTTATTTAGTTCTCGGGAGTAAGTTGTTCTAATTCCACGTAACATACCTTTGGATAACTCTTATTAAAGCTTCATCAGTAAACGAGATATGGATAAATTCTGGTATTTTTACGTTTATGTTGTTTGATCATCATTTGTTAATGATGTTTCACGTGCATCCGACTTATTTATCGAACCTTAGTCTAATTTGTGGCGTTTCAAATTCAAGGAGAGACGACGCGTCCATTCGAAATTTCAACAAATCATCGAATTCCAAGTCAAACTGAAAACAGTAAATATTGCTTTATGTATGTAAGTGTAAAATAATTCTATTTTGTCTATGTAGGACTAATTATCTTATTCTGTTTCTGATTTGAAAAGGGAAAGAGCACTGAAGAATGCACAAAATTGAATGTTCCTGAATTTTGTATTAAAATTTGAATTAAAAGAATGGCTTTCGGTAATGGTGGACCAGCCCTCCCGTGAATTTCATAATAACAGATACTGACTTCCAGTTATTTATTTTAAAGAATATTTTTACCTGCTACAGGTATGGCTAATGCTAATCACTAAGAGATCAACGCACTGAGCCTTTTTGATCTCATGTTTTCACTAACAACGTGGAATGATTATATTGAATCAATTGCTAACTCTGTCGCTAGAGTAGTCAGTTCACTATGTGATGCTAGACATTTTTTTTCTGAAACGATCCTAAATTTTGATCATAAACTGAGAAATGACTGACCCCGTACTTTTTCCTATTCTTAATTTTTTTGTCAGAATAAATCTTGAAGATTTATAAACCTACCATTCATCCATACATTGAATCCTGGTTTGGTGCTTGGAATGGCACTCCAATTTTATGAACAGTGCAAAAGTGGTGTATTTAGGCGTGGAAGGGA